GGGGGGGCGGGGAATCACATGGAGATGAGATTTACTGGCATCCCTTTCAAATTTAAAATGTGGAAACAAGATTCAATGTCTTTGCTTTTCCATCACCACCCAGCGGGCCCTCCATGGGATAGCCTCACACAGTTGTACTGGCCTGTTTATCCTGCCTCACCATTTCTTTAGAGGCGTGAGCACTGGTAAATGTAATGCCAGTTTTGAAAGGCTTCTTTAATCTTGCATGTTGGACATAAATACCATATAATCATTTCTGCATGGCCAGAGCCTCTCACTTGTATAGGTAACAAATAGTAAAACACAAGCCCGCTGAACATAAGCCAGAAACCTAGACAGCAGAGAAAGAAGAAAATGAATCTAACCCAGTTTTTCAGGAGATTGGGGGAGATTATATCACAAATGTTAGACCATTTCATAACAGAACCCTAATGACCTTCTTATGACCTCTTTTATGGACATATCACAAAACCTCATTACCAGTTTACATTTCCCACTGTGGCCTGGGACTAGTGACTCATTATACCAGGATGTCTAGGGAAATGCCATGAAGGTTGCCAAACAAACAGAATGAGAGCCTCTGATGTAAAGCCATAATTCACACCAAAATGAGGGTCTGGCCTGAGAGTATAGCAGAATGTCAGATTCATTCCAAAGAGAATTTCCCTTCTGGAACTGACATCAAGCAAGTCCCAATCACTCACCTTAACCGTTAGGGAATAAAGTTGCCTCTTAAGCAGATAGCTCTCAAATAATTCAGTGCTCCCACAGTATAAGCAGAAGAGATCATTCTTCTGGCCTTTACTTGATCACTAAAGGTATGTCTACACTATGGGACAAGGTCAAATTAAAATATGTGACTTCAGCTACATTAATTGCATAGCCAAAGTTGAGATAGCTTAACTCAACTTTTGGTGCTGTCCTCACTGCAGGAAGTCGAAGGGAGAACACTCTCCCTTCGACTTCCCTTACTCCTTGTGGAAGCAGGACTATCGGCATCTCCATTTGAATTAGCATGTCTTCATTAGGGTATTAAGGATTAGTCAACTAATCAACTATCCGTAAGCAATACAGACAGCAAGGGGGACGGAGAACAGGGGTGTACTTAAAAGCGGCAGCGCTGAACAAAGCCCAGCGTTAATGCAAAAGCAGCATATGCTGACAGCATATGCTTGGCATAGCAATATCACCTCCTCAAGCAACATTAGCTGTGCCCATAGAGAGTTCCCAGGGGTGCTGGAGTAGAGAGGTTCAACCTGTACTATGTGTTGGCTCAGTGTTTAAGTCTGGCCTAGTGCCTTTCATCTTGGACCTAATTAACAGAGTGTTCTCTACAAGCTGCAAGCTCGAGTTTCTGTGATGGCAGGATCAGCTCGCTTAATCTGCAGCAACTTCTTATTGACGAGTTAATGAGCAAGGGAAGCAGCATCCAGCTTTCTTTGGCTATGGTTTGAAGAACAGTCAGCATGATACATGCTCCTTGGGGGATGGAGAGAAGAGGAAGTGAGTGGGAGAAGAAAGAGAAGAAAATCATTATGGGTCCCAAATGGCTCCCAAAAGGTTTCCAATCTCTACAAGAGGGAAAGAACACCCCATACATGTATCTCATGCCTTCTTGGTGGACTATCAATAGCACACTCAAACATGGGACCTCTGGATCTAAATACAGCTAAAAGACTCCATTAACAAAGGTGGTAACAGGCTCCTCAACCTTCTCAGAGACACAGAATGCCACAATGAGTGGGTGTGGTCTTTAAGAAACTGAGAAAAAGGGATGGAGGGAAAGATTGTCCATGGGTCCAAAAAAGGGCTCATAAATCATTCTCTCTTGACCAGGAGGAGAATCTATGCTGGTTAGAACCTGCTGGAGTCTTGCAAAGGGAAGCTGGGAACCCAAAGCATTCAAGACAAAGAAGTACTAAGAGCTGCAATTTCTATAAAGAAACCCAGCTGTGTCTTTGGGTCAGATCTACCAGATATAGGGTTGAGTCCACATTGCTTTTCATGTTTGCTAGGAATCGAGACTATAGCTGGGGCAGTTATGAAGAACAGTTTAAAAACCTGGATGATGGGATCCAGGAATGTGAAAGAGCAGATTTTAACACAGTCAAGTTCAACTTCATTGCAACTCCTATTTAACTCAGCTCTGTCTATGATTGATTCCTCACTGTGATGCCAGAGGAGTGAAAGATGAATGCCTACCTCCAAGATAAGTTCCTTTTATTCCACTTTGTCATAGCCTGAGCATACCGCTTCTTCCTGGTTTCTGACTCAGCAAGATCAGGTAGAGAACAACGAGGTGTCTTCATTAATTCCAGGGTCGCTTCATCTAGATTTAAAAGAAGAAGAACAAAAAAGGCTTGAAATACTGTGATGGAAGCTGGTTTAACATCTCCACTTTCAGAAGGTGAAATTGGGTGTTACAAATATGAATTTCCTTTCCTTAAGACATTGTGGGAGGACTGGGAGGGAGGGAATGAGCATGACAGAGGCCTTGGCTTTGAGCAATGTGGTGGGCTTAGCACGCACATGGTAGCAACGCAGCAGTGATAATGGTCCCCTTAAAACATACTGCAGCCATTACAAGCTTTCTCTGCCTTAGAATGTAATGTTTTTCCTTCTTCGGCTGCTGGCATTCACTCTTTGCTCATCACAGAGCAGTCGATAGAGCTATTGGCTTTTACAATGATATTGCTCCATCAAGACTGGACTGTAACTTTTAACACTATTGGGAATGCCTGGGTTAGGGAGTGTGAAATACCTCTCTTGCCCAAAGGAACTACATAGGAAACATAGCACTGATGACTTGGCTTTCAGATCTTCTACAAAACACTAAGTACCATTTTCTACCCCACAACCAATTGGTCCAGTGCCATTTGCAGCACAGCAGCAGAGGTGAGAGGATGGGTCTCATAGGGGGACTGCTGATATTAACAAGGTTGTTCCTAGTTTAGATTAGGAATAGCTATGCAGCTGAGGCCATGTCCTGCCTACACCCAGACACACACATACATGCTGGAATAGTTCTGTGTACCAACACTGATTGCTATTGATCATGAAACAGATTGCGTTGCTATAATACTACTGGTTATTACCAAAAACCAAACAAACATCCTACCTTAGACAGGATAACTAATCTTTAACAATGTTCCCAAAATAAAAAGTCTCATTTTCCAAAATTACACAACTGGACTAACAACACTGTTGCAGGGCGGATCTATCTTTCCCAAGAATCACCTATGGGGGAGCCAAGTTGTTAGCAAGGTAAAAAGGATTGGGAAAGGGAAGGGGGCTCTTTGCATTCATGGGTCAGGCCTAGATGTAACACTGGCTATATACTATTTTAAAAAGTTGGGAAATAGGAAACTGACAAGAACCTTGTGGTCCCTGCTGTCACGCCAGATGGGAGCTGGTCCATGAGGAGAGCCAGTTTAAAAATCAGAGACAGCAGAGCAGGATGGAATCAGCTGCTATCCACATGGGTCCGAGCACCCATGGACAGAGGCTGCAGGGAGACAGGGGAGCCTGCCCTGAAGAAGACTCTGTCCACAGTGGTGCC